AAATAATAACAGAAAGCTTTATTCATTTAGTATAGTTAGTTATTTATTTAACATATAAGCGTCTAGCGTTGCATACAATTGCAACGTTAAGTGAATTGTTATCACATTAATTGTAAGATCTAAAATATCAGTGAACCGGACATGACAGAACTTGGCTCTAAAACTGTTTCTCTCATATTTGTTTATCCCCCCTCCCCCTCCCCCCTCCTCCACTTTGAAATACATTGCCATTTTATTTTGCCTTCTCCCCGTGTTCTTGAAAAGTATTACAGCATGGTATTTACTTCCGTTTCTCATCGACTCAGAAAGACATGCAAAACGTGGAAACGTGAAATTTTCTCAAAATTCCGAGTTTTTGTTGAAAATGTTTTGTGTTTACAGTGCAGATGTAAACTGAGATACCGTAAAGTTCCGAAAGTAACGTTACGTACGACCCTCGGATTAAGCGGCCTTCTCTTACCGCCTGATCCTGTCGCTCCTTTCGGAAGGTTGCTGGTTTACGGGGATCGCTACTTTCGGGTGGCTAAAACATGTCTGGTATACTGTACATGGGCCGTTCAAAGTTACGGTATTACTAGGGAGCTTAAGCAACGACGACGGCGACCGTAACGAAAACGGCAAAAAAAGTGATAGGTTAATTAATAGATTAGAAAAACAACAATTTTGCACGTGCATGACGCTTTTTTGGTACATTTCTTCACAGGTACCTCAAGCTCACGAGTGAGTTGCGTAACAGAAATATTATAAGAGTTTGTATGAAAAGTTTATCGATTATTATGCACCTATCAATGTAAAGCCGGCGGGGGGGTAGGGAGGCAGGGTATGGGGTGGGGATTTGATTGTCTTTGTTGGCGCTGGGGTAGGGCATTTGACCGATCTTGTTATCTCGGGAGAGGGAATATTTGAATCTTTCTTCGCCCGACGTGGGACCGACGTGGGGATACTTGACTGCCGACTCGGACGAAAGAGACTGAGACCGAAAATAGGTTTCCCCTCTTCCACGCTTCACGCACGCGACGTACGGTCTGGAAGAGTCTGGAAATCATGGAAGCCAACGAGAACAAGCCAAAGGTGAGTGGATTTCATTGTATTGATCAATTGAACCTTTTAAGATACTGTGGTATCAAAGTAAACGGAAGTAAAGAGAAACCAAGTCGATCTTTGCAAGTATGTACAATTGATCAGTTTATGACTGACATTCGCTACAATCACTGTATAAAGCTTATAAAACTGACTTTCTTTGTAGCCTTTACCAAGAATGGTATATTCAAACTTACAAAATGTGGACTTTCTCCTAAAGGTTTCTGTATTCTACGCAGTGTATTAAAACACGGATTGAATGGTTAAAACGTATAATTGCAGCTGCAATAAGAACATGTATCTTTGGTGATGCTGCAACGTTTATAAAAAAAGATTGCAGAGTTTTATTTGGAGATATTTTTATTGTGCCTTTCTTGGGTCCAGCCTTGGGATGGACCGCAGTGTGCAGCCCGGTGTGGGGAAATTAGGTTACCATTGACTGGAATGATTTGCCCGCGGGCAGGGAATTTGACGGCAAATTTTTGAAAAATGTCAAATCCTCGAGCACACTAAAGAACGCTGGTGGCAAGGAAAGAAGACCTGAACTTCGAAGATCTGCAAGAAGGCAACAATTTATTATTACAGTAAGTTCCTGGCGGTTTTATAACTGGCAAGAAGAAGTCCTCGACCAAAAATCGCCAAAAGTTGTAGATCGCGTCGTCTTCAATTATCTTGCCGTTGATGACGCGGGTCAAACAGTAGATAACAAGCACACAGGCAGCATGATTTTTCCTTCCTTCCTTCTGGCGAGTAAAACCGACAAGCCGTTGGGGGATAATACTTTTCAGAACCAGTTAGTAAACCTCATCTGCTGAAAGGCCTTTTCCTTCATACGGTTCTTTAACTGTTTTTTTCTATTCTCCTTTGAAGCTGAAATTGACGCCTTCTAATGATGAATTCCCGTAGAGAAATCTCAACACGCTTCAATAACGACCTGACTAACGACAAATGTTTAGTTGTGAATGGTAACACTCAAGTTACTAAATGACATGTAGGAGACCAATTAAATCACGCTATTTAGAGAAAAACAATGGTTTCCTGGCAGGCGTTTCCCTCCCTCCCTCCTCGCGCGCCCCTCGCATTTCTCTCGCGCCTAAAACTCCCTTTCCCAAAACTCTCTTTCCCTTCCCTTTCGAACGCCTGCCACGCAGGCTAGGTTCTCATATGCCGCCGAGCTACCTGCGACATAGCTGTCGTTAATGACCTGCGATGTTTCTTGTTGCCGGCGGCATTTATGTCTACGTCCTCCTCATATGTTGGAGTAATATCGCAGGCAGTACCGGCAGCTATATTCGCAGGTACTTGGACGGCATACATGTATGAGAACCAGGCTTCATGAACTTGAGCCTTCCTTCATATCAAAAGTTTATTTTCGTCTGCGGAACAGCGGAGCCTGTTCCCAGACCTTCTCTTTTCTCAGTTAGGGAACGTCGCGCGCGCGTAAGAATAGCATAAATCCGCAAAAAAACTTTACTTTTTAAGGCTACGGTATTCCGTGAACCAGTTCGATATGTCTTGTTATCTATCATTATCTTTATTTCTTGCAAAAAATAAAATTACTTTTGTGGTCTCTACCATCAGAGGGTTGTCATTTTCGGAGGCGGCAATGTCACGCAACAAGCATTTGAAGTTATTTAAAAATATATCCTATCCCAAGCTCTGACACATTTATACTTGTACTTACACTTATTGACTATCCTGTACTCTATATTTGGTAGCTGATGTTTGACCTGTTGAGACAGGAGCCGCTCCTGCTCAAGGCTATGGCATAATAGTTATTTTTGGAGTCAATAACTCTGCATATTTTGCGTTTGATAAAAGTGGGACGGCAAATATCAATGTACTGTATATCAAATCAGTGGCAGTACTGTGTTAAAACTATTGAATATGTTGCAATCTTCATTTCAGTGCTGTCATTTTGCCTAAGTTTGACGTACACGCTAATTACAAGCAAAAATGCCATGGCTCGTTTCAGACAAATTATATTTCTTTGCCGCTGCGACTATCATCCTACCACAGCAGCAGCGAATAGTCAAGCAGTCAACCCCTGGAATCAACTGTTACGCTTGCATTTGCGGAAAAGCAGGGCTTACTTATTCCTATATCAACAACACTTTTCTTACCTATCGCCGAAATAATTTCGTTATTCGTCTCAAATACAATGCTGTTCTTTCCGAAGCCTGAATCCCCTAGAAAAAGTACCTTGAAGATGTAGTCATAACTATTCTCCGCCGCCATTGCTTCCGCCTCGTTCTCTGCGCAAATTTGTTTTCCGTCTTACCAGGACGACGATCGGATAGTATCCCATAATGCACTTCGTTTCATGTTATATTATCGCTGCGCACGTGACATATCATGATCAGTATTCTTCAGCACGCACGAAATGAACACCGCGGTGCTCGATGTGGTTTACAAACATGTTTCGGTTCAGCAGTTTCTGCTTTTGAGAGAATATCGAGTTAGCTTATATCAAGAGCCATAATAGGACTCTTGCTTATATTCAATGTGCTTTAAAGGAGAATTTCAGTGTCACTTTGAAGGGTTTTGCACGTGTTTCACCGATCTGTCGAGAACTACTTGTGCGCTCAAGGTCTGGGTCTTACTCGATAAACGAGATTTAGAATAGGTAGTCATATGACAGTCTCGTGATGTGTGGGCTTTCAGAGGGTCGTAAAGGGGTATTTCCGTGATGCGTGTTTCCGTGAATCGTAATAAATTATACTGAAAATATAGAATGAATTAGTCATTAGTAATAAATTATATAGAAGGTCTAACGTGCTCCGAGAAATACATGTACTCGAATTACTAATCGACAATCGCGATTTGATTACTTAATTTTGTCGCGATTTTTAATTTCGAGGCCTCCGGAAGATGAAAAAAGACTGAAAACATTGAACGAGACAATTATCCGAGCTCTAGCTTTGACGTGGGCTATAGGAAACGTGGGTTTCGACTAAATAAAGGTTAAATTAAATAAAGTTGAATTAATCACATTAAAGTAGTTCTGGTCAATTCTTGGTCAAATATTATTCTTGTAGAAAAACCTGGAAACACGGTTTGTTTTGATTCAGAAGTCGATCAGCATTTGGTAAGTCTCGCTCTCTTCTTGCCCAGTCCCTGTACGGCGTCTTTCCAGGCCCTCTCGGTCAATGCATTTCGGTGACGCATCCGAGACGAACGGCCGGGACCATGTGACCCGCAAAGCATCGGCCGCCCATAATAATGAGGCCTAGGGACTAGGCAAGCTCTCTTCTAATCCTGGAAAGGAACTGGGTGGGAAACACTTTGATGGTTGCTAAGAGATTCGAGGTATTGGCCAATCATAGAGCAGAGTAGACAAAAGCAATTGTTTTTCAAATTCGTGTTCAGCTGGTAAAATCAAAGGAGCCTTTCAAGCCCCTAGATAGGGCTAAAAATGTCACATTGGAAACCCACACGGGTAGGGATATTTTAAAAAATATAGTTTCAACGTTTCAGATTTATGGTAGCCCAGGACTGCCATAACAAAAAAAAAACCCTACAGTAAAGTATAAGTGAATCTTGGTAAGGTGAATATTTTATATCAGGGACTGTACCCTAAATACCAAGAAGGGTATATTTAATTTACGTGATAGTTCTCTGTTTTATACTTGAAACAAGCAGAGTTTTTAATACCTTTCTGAAAAATTAAGGAAAATATGTGTTAACGATTATATTTCTGGTGAAGAACAGCACAAGGCGTGGCATTACTTTCAATACTGACAAACAGCCACTTGCTTGTTATGTGCTCTTAAAAAAAATTGTAGTTAACCATTTTCAAGACTAAATCACCTCTCTTTATTATTATAAAAATCGTTTACACAGGTGATTACAATACTACTGTCCTGGCTGTTGAAAGAAATTTTGTTTTCCTCGCTGTGACAAAACAACCAACAGTAAAATATTCTGTAACCTGTAGTCACCGGTTTAAGGTGGACTTCTTTATTTTCTATTTTTCTTCCAATGTGACAAGTTGACTAGCATGTTTCAGGCATTTAGTTTGTGGGGACGAGACAAAGAGGAAGAGCAAGAACCCAGCAAGGAGGTGGAGTAGGAAGTGAGAGCGAATTCCCTGCTCTCTCTCCCCCCACCCCCTTACTTTTCTCCGCTCTCTGATTTTCCGCCGCACTCTACTTTCCCAACGTCTGAAGCAGGCTACAAGTTGATCAAAACTGGCAATGAAGAGGCCCAGTACCGTACTAGTTAATGGCTGGATTTTTTTTAAATTTGACTACTGCGTGTTACATTATTTACGTTAACTGGTATAAATGAAGGGCCATGTAACTATTCCTTCAGACGAAATAAGAAGGAAAGTATTTCCTGAAAACTAATTTCTACCTTGTAACACCTCATTGGCGAGTTAACACACTTTTGAGAGGAGACAGATCAGAACTACTTTCTCTTAACCCACCCACTCGCGATACAAACTTTTCTCGGTATCTAGTGCGCTGCCCGTGAGCGAATTATCGCAAGCAGGAGATTCTTTCGCGCGCAGCCCATTCTCCTCGCTGCTCCAAGCACTCTCGCGAGCAAAATCTGCAGTTGGGCGACATGGTTATACTCTTACAAAAATTTGTCAACTCGCAACGCAACATCGTTGCGCGACAACTTAAACGGTCTCATTTCTAGACTAAGGAAGTAAGAATAACAAAATATCCGATAAGTTACAGGATTATAATCATAATCTGAATACTGTCCTAGCCAATTCCTAGCCTGTGTGGCGGACGTTATCAGGAAAAGGGGAGGGGCGACATCGGGCGCGCGAGGAGGGGAAAAAGCGAACGTCTGCAACGACGGTATTGTTTTCTCCGTTTTCTACGCTCAGACCCTCCCCCCCGCCATCTCCTCGCGCACCCGAATTCCCTCTACCTCTTCTCCTTTAAAGACCTGCCACGAAGGCTTACGATGTCCTTGACATTACTTTAAAAAGAATAAAGCATCTTAGGTGTAAGCCTGGTGATTTGGCTACAGATGCATGTCAAGGTATGGGATTAATTCTGCTGTACCTACAAGTATTGCACGAAAACAAATCTTCACCCCTTTAAGCCCTGAGGTTTAAACTTTCTGTTAATACACGTAAACTCAAAGGTCAGGAGAAATTTATCCAACCAAATTCGCCTCCTTACCCATCAGAGTAATGTAAAACAGTATGCAGTGTTGACATTAAGGCTTAAAGGTTTTATTTGACAATCTTCTTGGACAGTATGATAAAAAGGACCATCAATAATGATCACATTCCATTTTTTAGTCAATTGCTATCTAGTCAGAACGCTCGCCATAAGCTAACCTGTTCACAGACGTTTTTCTTCTTTCTTTTTCTCCTACAATTTGGTGAGTGCAATTGCTTCGCTCGTGTGCAGCAGCAAGCATGGAGCACAAATATGAGCGGTGTTTAATTCATAGGTGTGCTCGATGATCTCTTAAGAGAAAATATAGGGTCTGTGGACAGGCTAACATCATACATGTGAAACCCAGTGGCAGTTCTGTAACCACAAATTTTAATACAAACACAGCAAGAAACTACATCCACCATTTAAAATCATCCACTAAGGGTGTGTGCATGTAATGCAGTCCTTAGTTAACACATTACAAAAAAGCACAAACAATAAACAATATTGTTTGGTGGATCTAACCCCTTACATGGACTTGACTGTACATTCTAGTAAAGTATTAAGCAAAAAAAGCTGCCTGACTCTTCTTAACAGCAACCCCCTTTCTTCTCTTGTGTATTGCTAACGTGAATGTTTTGAGAAGTTTCCTCATTGTCCTTGGTCAATTGTTTCTTAAGGATATCTTCAGCTAGGTTGTAAAAGGCTTGCTCGATGTTGATGTTGGTTTTGGCACTTGTTTCCAAGAACCTTATGCCATGCTCTCTGGCAATCTAAGGTGGAGAGGAACCAAAGAAACCAGCAATCAAAACCCTTTTTCTTCACAAATATACATACATGTAAAGTACGTACACTGTTTACAGGTAGCCATTATGGCACCTTAAAGGGGATCATCAGGTTATCTCTCTATTATGATCTCTCCTTACAGATAACCCACCTAGTCCAGGAAAGGTTGGCCACACCACACTCTTTTCGAACAGTCGTGTGGGTTCTTTTATGTCCCACAAGAATCAGATAAGTGAAAGTGTTGTGAGATGGGACCTACAGTTTTTCTTCCTTATCTGAGAAGACTAGAAAGTTTAACTGTTCGCAGACGTCATTACAAAGGCAGCACTTTCTTCTCAGTTATTTAAAAACCCCGAGCATTTGTCTGGCCAGGGGTTGAAGCTGTGACGTCCCACTCAACAAACCAGCGCTCTCCCACTGAAATACCACGTGAGCTTTTGCATGGAAACATGATATCTTCACACATGAAAAGATCACCATTGCTACGGCTACATAATAAATTGGGCCTTCGGCAGCAAAGACATATTTAAGTGAAGTGGTTTGGTATTTCATTGGTCTTTACATAACAAATAGAACATTACACGGCTGCTTGGAGATACGAAAATTCTCTTCTTGTGTTAAAAAAAATACTTCATTTGATCACTGCGCTCACTCAAGAAAATTAATATTTTTCAACACTCAAAGAGAAATTTTGAATCTCTGTGCCGCCATGCGATATCGTCTGTCACCGTATGTAATGATGACAGGGATGTCACTAAGATTTCAAGTTGCCGGGTAAATACAACAAGTAGGCAGGGAATCAAACAGCTAGGGATTTCTTTTGGTTCTATTTTTCTTCTATTTTCCTATGAAAATAACCGGGGACCATGTTCATAGTAGCGGTGGGAAATCCCCGGCCCCCGCCTCTTAATGACAGCCCTGGATGATCATGACTATTCTAATGAAAAACATAGAGGCTAATGTTTCATACAATCTTATTGTGTTTGCCACTTCTTTGCAAACTTTAATAACAGAACCATGCATTTTGACAGAAAAAGCCATGGTTCTCTTTAAGCGAGGAGAACTATTCGTGAACAAGTTTTGCATCTTATTTGGGGGAGTTACCATGGAAATCTTTTCCAGTTTGAACCTACCTGATCACCACGCTCCTTGCTGACAACTCTTCTATCATCCATATCACATTTGTTACCGAGGATCATCTTTTCTACATCTTCATTTGCATGCTGAAATAAAGTGCAAAAAATTACAATGACATTATTGAAGGTCAATCCATTGGGTTTAAAAACGGTTTAAATTAGGTCTAAAATAGTTTCATGTAAGATCAAACAAAAAAATTGCAACAAGGACAAGTTACATGTGTATAAAATAATGCACACTTTCCAAGTGAGGTACACAGCCCAAGCCTCGGAAGCAGGAAGGAACGGAAAACATGCAAGAGGAAGTTTAAAATCTCTCTCTTCCTCCTCCTCTTCAGTCTCCTGTTTGCCTTCAAGAGGAATTTCTTTCATGATGCTTTAACGAAACAGCTAGCTATGAAGGTTAAGTTTAACTGGAACTTCTCACAATACTGAGTGTTCAAAGATACAAAACCTTCAAAGGGGATGAAAAGAAATTTTATGCAACAATACAATTTTCCTTGGTGATTATTGTAGTAGACTCCAGTGAATCATTTTAGTAAGTGCGGTATGTGGAAAAGTGATTTTCATTCACAACAAAAACGGAAAGTACCTCTTCAATGTTCCGTAGCCACTTTGAAATGTTGTCAAATGTCTTCTCTTGGGTTATATCGTACACAAGCATAATGCCCTGCAAATATCAAAAAAACTCAGACTGATGCTTAATTAGAACTGCATTAAGTATCATGTGCTTAATAACTTAGCATTAGTCCTTCTAGCTACATGTAGCTCCTATTATAAGTAATGGTGCAATGTTGCATCATATTAATGCTAAGGTGTGACAACTCCAATGAACTACTACAACAGTCCTTTTCCATTGTCTTTAGAATAACTTCTTGCTTCTGTTGAAAAGGTGAGGTTAAAATAACTCACAAAGTTGCTTTCACTTACCATTGCTCTTCTATAATATGATGTTAAAAAGATAGAGTTAAATGCTTGTTTATATCTCAAAAAGTAAATAATTCCACTCACCATCGCTCCTCTATAATATGATGTTGTTATTGTGTGGAAGCGCTCTTGGCCAGCTGTATCCCTAGAAGAGCAACAACATTGTTTATTACCTGAAACCAGATCACTTAATTATTCAGCATTTTGTGCAGCAAAATCGATGATTTTAAGTTTTGTTTTAAGTATAGCAATTCCTTAATACTATATGTTTTATTTTAATTTTTTCATTTATATTTTTATTCTTATTTCTTAACTCTTCTTGATACATGTGTAAAGTGTTGAAGAGTAATGAAGTAGATGTGGATGTAGATGTCTTTTCAACACAGGGCAAGTAAGGTTCACATGCACATTCTACGTACATACATAATCTTTATTTAAACACGATAGCTATTGAGTTTACAAATTAAACTAACCTAATCTACATCAACACGTATAAAACAAATTATATATATCATATGGACACAGTGATCAGTAATGTATAAAATTCTTAAACAACAACATGCTTGCAACTACAGTACAAGGGGTCTACTAAGAAAACAAGCAATGGGCAAACTTGGAATCTGAGGGGTAGAACTTCTTAAATTTAGTTTTAATTCAAGACTTCTGAGTAGGGTAAATACCTCTCTAAAATGTACTCTTAGTGCTCAGTCCAAAGGTTGACTGTCTTGAAAGAGTTTATGTGCCAAGGTTAGTTTCATGGAGTAAAGTTCAGTTTTCTTTGTCATTTTAGTTTTTGTTGACTTAGAATCAAAAAGCAAAGTTGCTTGTCCAGTTATGTTGAACCAGAATGAGAACATTTCATAGCATTTTTAGACTGAACAATTTTTCATACATACACAACTCAAGTGAAATTAGCTTACCATATCTGCAGCTTAATCTTCTTTCCTTGAAGCTCAATAGTTTTAATCTTAAAGTCGATACCTAGAGAAAAAAAAATGGGAAATGAATTACTTAACCCAAATCCTGTAGTGACGCAAATATCTAGGAACCATTCCACTGGAGGACGTGTTCCAAACAAAAATTAATTTTGTGCTCTATAATTAGTTAATTGACAGTGATGGGAGCACAAGTAAAGATGTCTGGGCCACAACATCAAAAATGAAAACAGCACAGCACATACCCAGCAGATGCTCATGGCTTCAGCAAGCCAAAAACAATGTAACCCAAAGCTTTTAGATCAGAATAAGCTGTGGCTTGGGCTAGCCATATATTGAATAAGCCGTGAATGCAGATTTTGAACCATTTATTCAGGGTGTTAGCATCTTGGGTAAGCCATGGCTTATTTGCTCTCATATAAATGGCCCTATTGTCTGTTTCAAGTGAACAAAATCTGTTGGATTAAAAAGGAAATCTTGAACTTATTTTTCTGTAGAAACTTAAATTTGTGTGTGGGTGGCGAAAAACACTTGGCCGCCAAGTTCCGGTAATCCTAAAGGCCAATTTAGACCGCACGATTTTTGTTTGCTACAATCATGAACAACTAGCATACGTCATGACTTCACAACAGATCGTTTCTTGTAAATTAGTTTTTTTCACTATTTGTGGGTAGGTGCTATTCAAATCATAACTATCTGTTAGTGTGTTGTTGTTGTTTTTAACTCTGAAGATATATCTTCAAGCAAAGGAAATTAAGTTCTTATTACTCACGATGGCGATTTACTCGATTCAATCTAGATTGAAGCAACTTTGGAAGTGGAGTGCCCTCAGAGAGTTGAAATTGGAAACAATTTGGTAAAATATTGACAATAAATCCTGTTTCATATTTTATTGCTGTATTTAGAAGAGCATTCTATGACAAACATTTTGATACATAGTTAATAGCCCTAGGAGTTATAGTATAGTAATATCTTTCATGACAGTATAGAAGTCTTTAGCATACTTTTCAAAAGGCAGCTGCAGCGATAAAATTTCCCCCCAAGATTTGCCAGTTAAAGGTTTAAAGCTGGGCATTTGATCAGAAACTTGTGTATCCAAAACGAAATTGAAGATATGACTTACAAACAAATTTACATCAAAGTGACATTCAAAGGCTATCTCCTTTCAAATCAGATGTAGTTAATCGATAAACCAATAATCGATAAATCAATATCAATCATCAATGAATATAGATTTCTGAAATCAATGGATAGAAATCGATAAAGAAAAAAAGTTGTGACTTCAATTAAAATATTAGTTTCCGATAGAAATTGATTGTTATTGATTTGGATCAATTGTTATCAATTTTGTTAATTGATAATAATCAATAAATAATTTATTATTTTTTCTGTAACTTCGACTTCTATCGATTTCCGATATCACTCAATATTAATTAGTGGATTAAATCGATTAATATCGATGATATCGATTGATTTGTGACATCGATTTCTATCCATTACCGGCAACTATGTCTGGAATATTATCTTTGAACGTTGGCTCACTTACTACACAAGCAACCCATGACTCATGCTTGGTCAAAATATTTTCAAAAGCTTCTTCTTATATGACTTCCTAGCTAGTTAAACAGTTAGTCAGTGCAGTCACTGACCAAATTTAACCAAAATTCTTATAAAATATTTGCAAGCAGGGGGCAATTCATTCAACTGATGACTTGGATAACAGCTTAGATGTATTGAAATTGAATAATTGAATAATTTTAAGTAGTAGTCAAAAAAAAGTAGAAACACAAGCCTTTTACAGACAAGTTTACACAAAGAATGTTCAAGTTAAAATGAATGACCATCTAACAATTCTATTTTACAAAAACAGCATAAAAACATAATTAGTGTAATTTGGTCAAAAACCCTCCTACTTAGTCACAAACAGCTGATAAATCCGGAAAAGATTTTGACAAGACTTGTAACAAAAACTAACGAATTCCGAAATTTATGCTACTATTGAGTAAACAAAGCCCATCTTTGGAAATCGAAGTGCAAATTTTAGGAATTTGCAAACGAGCCTCAAAATAGTAATGATCTTTTGGACTCGAAAATGTTGCAATCATCATTTTGTGAAAGGTTGGCCAAGTGCGTTAATTACATCCTCGAATTGACGTTGTGTAGTAATGCGAAATTGTGAACTTCAGTGGCAATATTTGGGTTTCATCATACTCTGTGTATTAGGCTCAGGTAAGGTGATGTCTATCTATCTACGATTGGACACGACATGCATAACACAGCGGGATGAAATTATGGCAAACTTCATTCTCTAAATATTTAAACGAAACTGCCATGGTTCGTTTCCGACAAATTTAAATTTCTTTATGGTGCGGCGGTTAGGTGGATGGGCTGCATTACCACACCACACAGTAAAAAGTCGACGGCTGACTTTAAAATGCTTGCATTTGCAGAGCGAAATTCTAACTCGATCAGAGCTCACATATTCTAACATTTACTAGGTAAATAGCACAACACAATCGCTTTCTCTCACCTATCGTCGAGATAAACGTCGTGTTAAACGCATCGTCGGAGAAGCGGAATAAAATGCAGGTCTTTCCGACGCCTGAATCCCCTATAAGGAGTAACTTGAAAAGGTAGTCATAACTTTTCTTCGCCATTGCTTTCCGCCTACTTCGCGATTATCACATGCGTACTGCGAGTAGACAAGAGAGGGGATTGGCCACTAGTCTCGTTCCAGTTCCAGG